TTTACAGTATTTCTTCAGAAAAATTGTTTTATATTGTTTATTTGCAATGTTACGTTTGAGATTTTTTTTTAGTGGTTTTTTTATAGCCTCAATACTTTTAATAGCCTCATTTCAGTTTTGAACACGAAATTGAAATATTCAACAGTAGTGCAGTGATCGCTGTTCACAATGTTTGCTTGGAAATTTTACAGCCGAAAGTTCGTTAAAACTTCACATTCTTTTAATTTGAAGTAAAAGCCTTTTGATAAATGGGTCAAAATGAAAAGATAGTTAGCACTGCAACAATTTTAGGTAAGTGGCGGGCCTTATATGATTGAGATGGTTGAAGACGTAGATTCCTTATCGAATGAAATGAGGAACAGGTCACGTGAAGTAGCTGAATGTCTGAAACCAAAAGAAAAAAAGTCCTTGAAATTTAGGTATGATGACTTTTGAATTTTCTAGCTTATTCCACTCTTTTCCTGAACTTTACTTCATTTTAAGAATTTTTGGTATTGACCCGGCTGCTGCCACTGAAGATTCGTCTATGAGCGGATTGCTGAAATCTGACGCAAAAGTTGGAAGTTCCGAAGAAGTTTCCAATGGAGGTCATGATCGTATTCCCTTCACTGGGGTAACCTCTAATTTTATTTTTGACGGTGAACTTCTTTTATACAACTTACACAAATAATAGTAAATTTTTCAGCGACTTCTGATGTCTGCATTTGTATTTCGGTATAGAGCAGATGTTGATCGTCCGTCAGGATTGGTAGTTTACTACTTGAATAGATTGGCTTTGCGTCACTTTTGCTTTAAGATGACCAACTGATCAGTTGGCATAGAACTTTCTACTTATTATACTAAGGTTTTCTGCCCTCTATAACAGTTATTTCAGGAATATGAGCGCTGTTGTCGTTTACCTTTAGCTGTAACAGTTATGCCGGCAATTACTGTTGCCGCGTGGCACGTGCTTCCTGGTGAAGGTCCGTCTTCAAGATATGTGGTTGTTGATGTGACAAATTCAACTGAGTGGGATGCGGAGCTGAAATACGGAGGCGGAAAAATGATAGGAGTACAACCAAAAGAACTTTGCAGGTTTTTTCTGTGTATTTTGATCTGTAAAAAATAATTTTCTTCCTTGTCTCTGCGTCTAAAACCGTTCGAAGATTACTTTCTTTAAGCATCACTTTATTTAAGGGTACCCCTACTATGTGAGTGCAGTTCTGAGCTGTCACCTAACGCTTTTCGAGTAGCGGAGAGTAAAGCGTCTTTTCTGATGCAAATGCAGGAAATGGAACGTTTAAGGCTTATTCTTGAGAAGCATGTGTCATCATTACTTGACATTCGATGGACAATAGCAGCTATTTCACGTGAAGGCACTGTCCCTGTTGGTCCAATTCTTTCTTCAATATCTGTCTTGAAACAACTTGTCGTTCCTGCCATTTCCGTCGGTTGGTTTAAGAACTCTTGGTTTTAATTTTTCTGAACAATCTAAATACACCCCATTTATAAATTATTATAACAATTTAATATCCCGATGTATAACATGCTTAAAACCTTTCAAGTGTTCAGCGGTTTAAATTTTTGTTTCAAATTGCGTTTGCTGCTTATTTTTCAGAGACAAAAGTTAATGGTATACTTTGTCTGAATGAAGAGGATATTGTAGTTGGTATTGGAGAAGTAATTGATTTAGAAATTAAATTAGTATGTTCGGCTAATGGTGAGTTTCATTATGAACTTTGTTTTTTGAAAATGATTGGGAAGTTTCCTTAGAATTCTGAACTTTGTGAAATTTTGAGTTGAGATGAAAGCTTAACTGTTTGGCCCTAGGGTCTGGAAAGCACATGTAATTTTATCTCAGGATTTTAATTTATTTTGTGACAAAGGAATCACTTACTGCTGTTTCTGCTTTACATAGGATGACATTTGGGCTGTGGTACTATTAATTATATAAACTGGATATTGAGTAGTAATTTATGGCAAAAAGTATTTTTTTTACCTCTCACTTTTGAACAATGAGCTATATTGAATGTTAAACAGCTATTTTTAACGCAAAACAGTGTAGTTATTCAAATAAATTTTAGAGGAGAGGCTTTTCAAAGGGATTCTTTGTTTGGATTGTTATCGTGATTTAATGAATGGGTCAAATATCATTGATAGTAATAGCAGCATGCGAATACTGAATACTGAATCTTTGCCGTTTATCCTTTCAAATGTTAGTTCTTTTTAATGTTGTTTGGTAAAATATTTAGCTTTTATAATATCATGACAGTTTATGACTCTTTACATAATATTTTTATTTACTTTGGATTTAGACTTCAGAAGATTCAAAGGGTATTAAAAAAGAACTCTGTGATCCTTCCTTATCTGGTGATGTAACAACACAAAGTACTCACGACCGTTGCTCTAGAGCTTTTGGTGGAGTTTCAACTGCCAATTTTCTTCTGTTTTTTTTATGTGAAGGAATTTTCAAGGTATTTTTTCTTATTGTATTTTATTAAGTGTGCAGTAGAAGCAATCTTTATTGTATTAGGTGAATTTGTGTTTTGATCAGCTATGGAAATCTTACCCGTTTTAGCTTTTCGTTTGAAGTAAATTTTGTCTGTTGAAACGGTTAAATTCTTTATTCTGTGTTGTAGACTAGCTGACGCTTTCTAGTATCACGTTTCAGGTTAAACCTGTTTTGCGATTTGATGATCAAAATAGCGACTTTAGTGATGATGAATTATTCTGTTCAGCTGTAACTATTAATGTAATTACAAAGATGTCATAGTAGAAAACGTGTTTAATGTGCTGCCTTCGGTCTGTATTCTTGAACTCTAGTTTATAATTAGTTTTTCATAGCGGTTTGTAAAAACTAGTTTATTATTTGTTCAGCTTTCACAACAGTATTATTCGCCCATTTTCCTCTTGAAGTGCACAGTTTTTCTGCTTCTTGTTCTTCAACCTCCTCGATATTAGCATTATGTATCAGTCCTAATCTGGCGTTTATCTTAAGCTTTTGCATTTTCTTTGGAAAATTCAATTTCTTTGTTGTCTACTCGATGTGTATCTACCACAAGTTATTTGCTCAATTTTATGGCCGTAATGATTCTGTGATAACACAGTTAGTTCCTTGCTTGCCGCCGGTCATTTTTCTTCTAGCCGAATCTTCAATTTTGAATGCTCATTTGGTAAACTTTTCTGTGATAGAATTTCGTATTATCACTTGATTTTTTCTATCATGTTTAGTTCAAACAAAGTAAATGGTGTCATTGCGAGAGCGGATATTGAAATTTGAAATTGGAGAAGAACTTACATGCATTGGAATGGTGACGGTGTGATAGGACCTGTAAATGAATGTTTCGAGTTTATCAGGCCTTTATTGAGGTTGGAGTTTTTTGTTAAAGTTTGAAGAAGATGGTGCCGTTTTTTTTGATTTTCCAAGAACTTCTATATGGAGTGATTGATGTATATCCACAGCGTAAGTTATGCCGGAAAGTTTTTGTTGAACCGCTGTTTGAAGCTGTTAGTGGGTTAAAAGTAGCTTCAAAACAAAATTTATTTTTGCGGATTTTGTTTTCAAGTATGACTAGTGTTGATATTGAGGATTTAAACGGTGGGCAAACAAGCAACTGCTGCGAGATAACAGTTTTATTTAGACAAGTATACTGGTGATACTATGATAGGCTGGAATTCGTGATTGGTAGGTGTTAGTGTGAAACAACTGGAGGATTACGTAGAACCCCTGCTAGGCTGTAGAAGAGGCTAGAAAGATCAAAGTGGTCCATGTGGTGATGAAACTAAAGGATTTCAATGTGAGATCTTCGCAATAACGAGATTCCAATCAGTAACCTTAGGTAACGATAACAAATTAAATAGCTCTGTTCGAGACGTCACCATAGAAAAATAAGTTATAGAAAGTTTAGTTTTAAGGAAATTATTTCGTATTTGCTTTTTTCGTTTCGCATTTCATTTTCCTCTGTTTTGGAATTCTATAAAATTGGAATTGTCTGCAGTGCCAACAGAAGTAGGACTGTTTTTCAAAAACCCTATTATAAAGACGTCTGCTTTATAAGTGACTTCAAAAGTAACAGGGAAGAAAACAGTTTTTTAGTTCTCCATGGTAAAAGCAAGGAATGCGTATTTATCAGCAGTAAAGAAAGAAGATTCTAAATGAGGAAATAACCCGTATTTTCAGGAGTCAGAACACTGTTTCAATTAGCGATTAACTGGGAGCAAGACATTTAGCGCTGTCAAAGTTATCTATGTAGGTTAGCAATTCTCCGCATCCGCTCTTTACAGCACTCTCCCACCTGTCGCCATCCCGTAGAATATAGTGAAGCCTGTAAAAGGCGAAAATTTCCGACTGTTTGCAAAAATGAATCATATTTGTTCAAACAATTCTTGATTAATAGCTAAAGGAGCTATAGAAATTGCTAATTCGAGTAAGACAAAACGTTGTTTGCTAGCTGCGATTCAGTTTTCTAAGAAGAGTTTTCACTTTTGTTTAGATGATTTGGATTTATTTATGATGCTAACTTCAAGACTCTGAGGGGCGAAAGTAATCATTGGAGTGAATTTTTGATAGTTCAGGTTAAGTAAACTACGTGTCATGAACTTTGAGAAGACTAAAGCAACATTTTTTTAAGAAATACGCTGAAATCTAACTTTGATCCAACCGGTGTCATTCCGCTAACGTCACCAAATACTACGTGTGTCTGACCAGGTTTAAATCCCAGATTTTCACATCGAATGTTTCCTTTCAGCAGCCAAAATTCTATTTGCTGCCCTGCAATCTTACTTCAATTAGTGCTGTTCGCACGAGCGAGCATCCAAAGCGTATAAGACAGGAAGATAATACAGGAATCGGAGTAGTATTGGGTTGCTTTGTGGTATGCAGAGTATTTTATTAAAACCAGCTAATGAATTCAGTAAGTGCTCCATGGTTTTTTGAGGTTAGTTTTGCAGTTAATAGGACAGGGATAAAAAATTAAAGTTGTTAGAACAAAAATATGAGGCGAGAAAATTGCAAGAGAGAGGATTTTTACCAATGGCAATGTTGAAATCTTCAGGAGTTACAAATGCTGATAGCCTTGCAGGTATAATCAGGTATTTGGAATCGCTCTCATTTTTCACATTCAAAATTGTGACAACTGCAGCTGAAATTGATAGACTTTTAAGCAAAGTGGACATTTCCTGCATTTAAAAAACAGAAATTTACTTTAATACTGTCAGTGAAAAAAATCTCTTTTGCACTGCAACTTGACATCAGCAATCCTCACTTTTTTGAAGGGTTTTCTGCATATACTTTACCAAAAATATTTGCTTTTGAAAGTGTTCCATTATCCTTTGATAATAGATAATCAACATTGTCTATCCTTCATTAATCTACCTAGTTTCTCTGTACATGAAACTGTGAAACTGACCAAAATGTCTCGGTTTACAGATCTCCTCAATGACAGTACGATTGTCCAGAAAATAGCATACGTTACACTCCACTGAATATGAGGCACTTATGCAAGCACACTGTTCTCCCCAACACTGCACTGGTACAGCCGACTCGTCAATTGCTCGCTTGAAACGAGGTTGCGGAGCGTCCACCTTGGTCCTACCGATGACTCCTAGAAATTTTGAAAAATTTTATAAAGTAAGTTTCACAGTGCGAGACAACTTTTAAATGTTTAGACTCAGACTCAAAGTAAGCTTCATTTCTAAGCTGCTGGAAGTCGGCTGCATTTGCTATATTTATGGTAGACCGGATAAAATACTTGTGAGTTCTATAAAGTAAGAAAATTTATGTGACAGTAAAGTACCGAGTTGTGGATGTCGTGCCGAAACAATTATAGGCGATAAACGATTGGCCTCATAATTACCTCCTGTATAGATCATGCCAAGTTCGTAACAGTGCTTCAGAACAGGCCTAAGCTGCAATTGTGAACAGTCTTTATAAGAAATATGTGAATAGTAGATTAACGGCAGTTCTTCAAACAATCCTTCTGGGTAGAATTGGTTGAGATGTGCCAAAAATTGTAAGTCTTTGCAATCAGCTTAGTATCTCTTGGAAGAACTCTTATAAGTGAGAAATATATTTGAAAAATTTGTTAATTAAGATCATTCAAAAATTCAGTTCCCTTTTTGGCCACAACAATTTGCTAGTGAACCAACTAGAAGTAACAGCATTACTGGTACTTATATAATGAAAAAAATTTCTTATAAAAAATAAACAACTGAAATTCAGCGATGTTATAAGCAAAGGGGCTAACGTTTGCTAGCGTAAAGTGAGCTGCTGAAGAGCTGATGACAACATCACTTGCCAATGAGACGTTTTGCTTCGTTGTATTCTAAGAATGGTCGAAAGTTAGACTTAACAGAAATTTAGGCGACTTATATATATATATATATATATATATATATATATATATATAGGCAAAAATGCTAACTCAAGGCGGATACTGGATAAGACTGTTTTGTACGCACTGATAAATGAAAAAATTTTTGAGAAAAAAAGTTTGAATAAGAATATTTTAGTAGCCCAAAGAAAAACAACTTTAAATAAGCTTTAAGCTTTCTGGAAATTACAGTGAAAGCAGTCCAAAAAGGTAAGGATACTCATTCTAGTTTTGCATTGTTTTTAAAAATAAACACTGATTTGAAAAAAAGGAAAACACGATTGAAGATAAGACGTATACAGCAGTGTGATTTACTGTGTTTAAGTGTTGGCTACTAAGTTTATAGCTTTTTTTTCTTTATTTCAGACATAATGAAGGTAAACAACAAAAGTCAACAAAAGTGAATTGAGAAGCATACCTGCAGAATTAGAAGTTTGTCTTTGTTTGTTGTGAAGCCAGTGTACAAACCGTGTTCTATTTCCACGAATTTAACTGAGGGAGACTGCACCCTGAAAGTTTCATGAGTTGTATATTCAGCGTCAAAAACGTTGCTTTTTCTTCTGTTTTCTTTTCGCATACTGAGAAGCAAAATTAATTTATTACAAATTTTACAGTAAACTTGGCTGATTGTTTAACGGCTAAGTTGAAAAGAGCAAAAGCTGTAATTACTAACTCAATGCAAGCTCGATGAACCATATTGTCGACAACTTCCCCAGTATCAACTACTGTTATTCTGATCACATCATCATTTGCAGCGTGCCTTCTGAGCCGATGTCTATTGGTACCCAAAACACGAATTCCAACCCGCACTTTGGATCTGCTTTCTGTTGTAAACGTTATCTTCCGAACGTATGATGGCAGCTAAAACAGCAAAGGTGTTTACTACTGTTGCAATTCCTACTAGAAGCGAGCTTGTAAAATGGAGATCTTTCATCTCACAAGTACGGTGCGTCAGGAAGAAGGGCTTCTTGAGAAGGTTACGTTCTCGACCCTCACAAACTCTAATCTTAGCTTTCTAGCGGCATCAGGCACGGCAGTGCACGGAACACTGTCGCTGTTAGGGAATACATGAGAGTTTGGTTGGACACATAGGCAAAAGATGTTCAGAAATTAAGTGGAAATTGCATTTGTTGGGTTAAATTGAATCATCGAAAAAAATTTAAGAAGTGCATAGAAGCAATATATAAATGAATTAAATCATCCAGTGCTTTTACTCATTCTTACCGTATACAACACTGGTGAGCCTGTGACGTTGTGCTTAATCGTGGTACAATTCTCGCATCTGATTTCAATAAATTGATGGTCCTCGTTAACGTCACGAACCTCTCGAGCTCGATATTCGTAAATGGCTCTGTTGGCAAAGTAGGTATCCTATAAATGAATATCTATGCGATAATTTATTTGACTTCTATTACGATGTTGATCTAAAATAGCTGTATAGCATGCAGCAGTCAGCAACAGCAAATTTGAAAGAAGCAACTGCAGAAGAACACTACATACCAAGGCTGATACAGCAGCAAATCGTTGGTCAATCTGTTCCAAAATCCAATCCATTAAGGCATCAAGTTTTACAATTTCTTGTGGAGAAGTATTTGTTGTTTTTACTGCTAACAGCGCTAACGAATTTGCCAATATATCGCCAGACTAAAATCCTTTTAACTTATTAAGCCCGCACATTCGTTTTCATCCAATCTCTTCTTTATTAACAGAGAAGAAGTAATTACCAGCTTTTTAAACCTAGTACATATTTCAATGCATTTCAGAAATCATGGCCGTGAAAGGTTTGCCAGCAAATTTGCTGCAGGCCTATCGATAATGAACTAAATACTGGTTACAATTTAGTGATAAGTCATGAAAGTACCTTCTTCTTAATACGAGAAACGTAGTCGCCGCGGTCAGTGTTGATCTGTTCTTCACTATTTGCCACTGTTTTTCCAGCTGTCCAGTAGGGGAAGTTACCTTCTACAAGAAAAAAAGGCTCTATAGACGAACGGAACCGGAAATCTGTTGTCACTTGCCATATTACTTAATTTTATTTAAATGAGCAAAATATAAAATAAAAATAGTTTTCCAGTTTCTTGAACTCATTAATTTTGTTAAATATTGGCATTTTTTGTTCTCAGATCAAAAGCAGATATAATTCTTAAATTTAAAAATTTTATTTGCTTTAGATTTTTTATAGTAATTTGAAACACTAACGTTGTATTGCCAGATAAAGCTGATTGCGCATGACAGCACTCTTGCCTGGTGATCCCATGTATGCCAAGGCCCCAATAGTACGTATGTCTAAATCTTTGCCAGGAGCTCGGAATAAACTATCAGTTAATTTAGACCAGGGATTGCTTCTGTTATTCTGAGCCTGATGAAAAGAATAGTTCAGCTATTTTGTCAAAAATTTTTATTTTCCTTTACAGATGGAAGTAAAAAATTATTAAAAAGTAGATTTTGAAAATTAGATTACTTTATAGCAGCGATATGATATACAGTCATTTGCAGCTTTGTTTATCAAGGCTTTTAAAAACCACATTTGGTCATCTTTTGTACTCTGGAAATGAAAATATTTAACTGGAAGTAAAGCGGATAGGCAGTTCCTTAGAAATATTCAATTAAACTAAGTTAAACAATTTAAAAAAGAAATAATTGCACAAATTTGTATAGTTTTCTGAAGAAAAAATAATTTTGTAAAATTACAAAATCTAAGATTGTCAATATTTCGTCATAAATTTCTTCCGAATTCGAGTTTAGCAAATTTCCCAAATAGCGCAGCGTTGGACAAACCATGTCCTCATGTGCTTTCGCCTGACATATCAATGAGGCTGCCATGGCTGTTAATCTAAAGTAGTGATTTTTTAATGGTCATTTAAATAACTTATTGATAATTGCCATGTTTTAATAAGTCAGTTGGAGAAATTGATATAATAATTGCAGTAAAATTAGTGCCCGGAACTGAATGATCATTTAACTCCGATTTTTTTTGGTGTAGTTGGAGACAGCATCTCAACTTTGGTTGAGAAGAGTGAGTTAACGCACACTGATAAGTCATCTTTAGTAAATTCTTAAAGAATTGAAAATGATTGTTGATTGGTATATATAAATCCTCTTATAAAAGTAGTTCAAGCATTGTCTACATCAGTTTAGATCTCGGGCTTTCCCGCTTTCTTCAGTAGGCAACCTTTCGAAGATCGAAAAAACCATTGCTGAAAACTGTAGAACGTACAATGGAGAGCGTTCTTGTCTGTTTTTGGGTGCACTTTTTTCAGCAAATCCGCAGGTAGTTTTGCTTGGACAATCAGAGAAGGAGAACAGTTGTAGTAGGGCTAAAAAAATATTGTTTTTAAACAGCTCATGATTGATAAATGTTAACAACTTATTTTAAACTGCTAAGCGCTAACTTTTTCCAAGCAATCGGCTTTTTTTGTTCGATATTCATTCGCTGCTGAAAAAAGCAGTCTTATTGGATTGGAGAAGATTCAGACTACAAACCATATTCAACTTCACTTTCAAGCGTTTCCATTTCCGATGCCAAACTGCTGGTGTTTTTGCGTTGTTCAATTTTGTAAGCATAAATTGCAGCAGAAAGTGACTTTATCGCATCCGATGCAAAATACGCATTTTCGGCAATATTGCGCTTTTTTCTTGAAATTGGCCCAGTGAGAAGTGAGGCTTGTTCATTAGCAAGTGGCTCAGCGCTGAGAAATTCTTAAAAATTAATTAATTTTACAACTGAAATCCCAAGTTTTGTTGCCTACAATAGATTACTGCCAAACGTTGGATGACACGTACTGGACATTTCAATCTCAATTCCATAAACCGTCTCTTCGTTGTTCAAATGAATGAGAACGTCGGTCTCAAACGAATTAGTAGAATTTCTTTCACTGTACTCTGAAATCTTGATCTATTTAAATCGATGACAATGTAATGATCCCGCCTTAATGTTTTAGCAGTCTAATATGAAACAGAAATTTTGCAAATATTTTAGCGCAAATTTCGTGCTGTGCATTAAAACCAAAAAAGATCATACCAATGGCTTCATTGTTATTCTCGTCGATATCGCCTGAATCATCATTTTCCATCAGTAAATTATCTCTTTTTAACGATTTTTGTTTTGGTTTTTCAGCATTTAGTATGATTCTTTTAAAATACAGCATAGTATCAGCTTGTTCCTGAATAAATAAAACTTTGCCAAATATTTTGGACTGTTTTTTTCATTTTTTCAATTTTACTATAACTAATTTTTTTCCTGTTGTAAAAGCATTTAATTTGGCTGTCTAGTGAGAATTTAAAACAAGAATTTATACTAGGGTACCACTTTTTGATAATTATGCAATAACATACATAAACCTCTAGACGAATGTTAACAGCGTCTATAATATTCTCATTGATAACACTGGTATAACTTTTGATTCCTTCTGTTGTCAATACAAATTGAACGTTAGCCACACCTGGTTTCAGAATCCTAAAACAACATTTTTTGCAAATGCAGCGGAATGATTTTTCTAAGTTAAAATGATTGCATCAAAAGACATCTTTTTTTTTTTTTTTTTT